GTGGGGTGGGGGAGGGTTTGGGGTGGCGTTTAAATTATTAAGAATAATTCGAGATCTAGATCTAGATCTCCAATTTCTTTAAACAGGCCAACATGTATTGGGTCGTTTATAAACAATGGGGGGAAAGGGTAACATCATATTCCCGTGAAGGTTTAGCCATGCCAAAAAAATAAATGATTTTATAATACAAAAAACTTTATAGGCCTACGTACAGACACAGAGGTGTAATCGTTTCGAATAATTTGATCTCTCGATTCAAGTATTATAACCCGCGTTGATTCATTCACCATTCGTTACTAGATCTAGATCTAGATAATATAGATCTAGATCTAGATCTAGATCTTGCTTTCGACACTGACAAATCCTCGTGACTCCGTTGATTGACAGCAAGTCATGACTAATGGGTTTTTTTAAAACACACTCCTTTGACTGCAAGACCGGGGGCGCTTTTAGCGATTGATTGGGGTTATTATAGAAGCGAAAATTGAATGGGTGCATTATCAACAGCATCAACGTTCATGTTTGTTTCAACCCGCGAGAACGAAGGAATTCGGGAAATCCTGAAAGGAACGCGGCCTACCGAGATTTTCTAACGTTCACCACCACGGGTCAGCCGAGATAGCGTGTGTTGATGTCCGTAATTCCACTTTGTAAACATGACCTCTCTCACCACCTTTGACCTGATTTACCCTTGCTCCACCTGCTGGAGATTCAGAATTCAGTGTAAGATCATAGCCTACCGCTCAATCGTTTACTTCGTCAATAGCTCTACATTTTTCGTTAAACGCTTAAATATATGATAAAATAAACTTTGCCAAATGCAATTTCCGATTTTGACAATAACACTGCTATAAAATAATAGCTCCTCCTGTCCGTCCCGACTTACCGTTTTCACACACCCACACACATCTGGGATAATTCTCCACCAGGAACCACAACTCTTGAATCGCGGCCCCAGGGGGTGGTGGCTGGGAAGGGAAGGGAATGTTTGCCCGACGTCACATGACAGACGGACGAGACGTGGTGCGGGTGAGACGAGGCCAAGAGCTTCTGTTTGTGTGTGTTCGGTGTGCCAAGTTCGCCAAGCCTGCCCCCAGATCTAGAGTTGTGCGTGAGTCGATCGATGAGCGTATGAATCAGATTCACGAGTTGCATACATTTACTCACACGGACATGGAAGTCTGTTCCACCATTTTCAATGGATGCCAGGAGATGTCTGTTCAGCGCTAGGATTATGGCCAGTGAGGAAATTCATGGGATTTCAGTCACTGATGTTTACGATCAGGCGGCTGGAATTGCCCATGAATTCGACAAACTTATAAACGCTTACGGTAATGATGCCGTGACAGAACTAATGCCAAAAGTGATCAAATCACTCGAACAACTGGAGACATTGGCATGCAGATATGAGAAAGACGTTGAGGAAATAAACCAGCTGAGGTACAAGGTAGAGAAACTCGAATCGGAAAAAACCGAGAAAGCCCAAGAGCGGGCAAAGTTCGATCAGGTAAGCTAATCGATAAGCTATTTTTGATTCTCACTCATTATTATATTTTGATCCTTTAAAATAACCATTCCTCTGATCAAGGTTCTAACACAAGATTTCTAGATCTAGTGACAATAACTGTGTAACCCATTGGGAGTGGGGGAACTAAGACGGTCTAAGAAGAGGATGGTGGTCAGTCTCACTGTTTTTAGAGCCTAATAACCTATAATAATATATAGAGCCATGGCCCGGCATAAATTATAGGGACAATTATAATAATGTAATAGAATCTAGATCTAGAATCTAGATCTAGATTCTATATAAATAATTAGTATATATATTGGGATTTTATGATTTCTTGGTGGGGACTGCCCTTGTATGGCATGACATTCTTGTGTTCTAGACTCTAGAATATCTCTAGAATCTAGATCTATAACTTTACATTCAAATTCAAGAACAAGAGGGTGGATAGATCTAGATCTAGATCTAGATCTAGAGTTAATTACATTATCGAAGTGATTATTTCTCCGAATGCTCAGAAAAATAAACTGGAACTCTATTTCTCATGGTTTCCGTTCTCGAGATTTTTTGGTTATTTGCGAGATTCAGGCGTCTTCTTTCATTCTTCCGTTCTTCGAGGACTGGGAAGAAGCATTTTTTTGCATGGAATTCAATTTCTAGAGCTAGAGATTTTTAAATGTCTGAATATTCAGATACTTTTCAATTGTGGTGGGGGCAATGTTCCCGGACTATATTTCATTTGATAAGGCCTTCAAACGGTACTGCGAGAAAACAAGACTGCCTGACCTTGGCAGTAACCTATTTTGCATTTAGTCACCTCGTTAGCAAAAACTAAAATCCTTCATGTAAACAAAAAAACAAAGTAATCCCTCCACGCCCCGTTCACACCTTACACACACACACACACACACACACACACACACACACACACACACACACACACACACACACACACTCACACACTCACGCGGGCCACTCCACTCCATTCGCAAATTATCAACAAATCTCGAGAACTAATGGAAACCGTTCGGAGAAATAGAGTTAAAAAAATGTATTTTCCTGAGCGTTCGTAGAAATAGAGCCGGCCTTACAATATTTGATAATATTATAATGGTTTAATTATGTAGGCTAATTGGTCACGTTTAAGGACAGGTAGGCTTAACCAGAATACGGGGGTTACCAGAGATCTTGACCTACACCAAAAGTAGGCATTGCCCTACCTATAGGAGAAGTTTGGTTTCATTGGTGTGTATATTTGTTTGGTTTATAGAGAGAAAACTCTCCTTCTTGTCTTTTAAAGAAACTGAATAAGGATCCGAAAACTTCACCTTCGATTTTCTCAAAACAGCATTTTTTGTGCTTAAAAGCGACCAATTATCATATTATGACATTATGGCATATATATATATATTTCCACTTTCCAACATTTTATTCCGATTTGGAAATCGAAATCTCCCCGTATGATTTGACTACATTTCCAAGAAAACATTGTAGACCTAATATTCCCCCCTATTAATTTCTTTAAAAATTCTCTACTAGAATCTATAACTTATTTTTCAAAGAATAATTTTCAGGAAATGTGGTGTTAGTTGAGTCATATAATGAATATTATCAGAATTAGATTTTAAAAATATAAAAGTAAAAGTGTATAAAACATAAAGGAATCTGAATACTGTGATCGTTTCAAGTCATATTTGTATATATATATATATATCTACAGGGCCTAGATGATCCCATCACATATATGTGCTCGCAATTTTAGGCTCTTTACATCCATTCCAAGTACAAAGAACGAAAACTTAGAAAGTTTATTATTTTTTATGTAAATAAGAAATCACACTCACACACACGCATGCGAACACCCACACTCACCTTTTCTCTTATACGATGAATAATTTATGTAAATAAACACTTCATTATGGAATGAGCCATAGTGTATAGACTTCTTCTAATGTGATCCGTAGGTTAAAATTAGAATATAAATAAAATGATTTTAAATAGATACACACATGATAGAGCCATAAATACTGAAAATGAAGCCACTGAGTTAGGAAGGTTTTCTTTACAAGTCTTTGAATAAGAAGATATCATGTCTAAATTTCCAATCTCTGTTTTTTTTAGTCATCTCTTCTCTGTAATTTAAGGAACAAGGTGTTATTCTACGCCCAAATTTTGGGTGCAGAATAACAAACGCCATTATACTCCCGAATGACAATGTGCAGTTTGTTCTTTTTTGTGTTCTCCGTTTCCGGCTTCGCCCTAAGCCTAGTTTCACGCTGTGAGGAAGCAATCAGAATATCCTCCACACAATGTAAGCATGTTCAAGGGAGCAAAATTTTATTCGTCCCAGGGATTTCAATAGAAGTTGAAAGAATTTGAGGGCGAACACAAATGTTCTTTTGTGTAAAAAAAATTTGACCAAATCTACGACGGACAATAAATCCAGAAAGCATCCAATCGACGAGACTAAATTTAAGCTCGTGCGAGGGACATTGGTGAGTGAAACCCCTGATCCCCCCCGTCCCCCGCCTTCATTATACCATATTATTATGGACCCAAGAAATTTCTTTCAAATTCAACCTGAAGGCCAATGCAACCTAACGAGTTGCTATATTTTGTTTGTGTGCCACACACCTGATATGGGTGGGTTTTTAAAATTAGAGTGATTATATTACGTTACAAACCTGTGAACGCAGTCCTTCTCCGGGGCCAGATATTTAATTTTCTTGGAATATTCAGTTTCTTTTCAGAATGGAATAATTTCAATGATGAACTGGCCGTGTGTTTTAGTTTTATGTTCCTAACTTGTGTCATTTATATTGATCATGAATAAGACCATTTTTAAAATGTTTATTGTTCAAGTTCACCATGATGTGGTTATCCTGTCACTTTACTTTACAACCACTGTACAAGAATGATCTAAATCAGAGACACCACAATATGGCATTAAGTACATTATCTCTTGTTTCATAAAAAATTCAAGTTTGACTATGTACAGTAACAATGTGTTGTTGTTCGAGAGGTCTTTTATTATCACCCTCACATGATAGTTCTTTTTTGACATTTTGTATCATGTCAGAGTTGAAATCTCCGTTGTGTTAAACAATAAAAAATGTAGTGATAAATGATCAAGATATTTCCCAGCTATCATTGTCTTTAGTCAAATGAGCACAAGTTGTGCCCTTCCCCCACATGTGATTAAGTTTTTAAGATTATTGAATGCACTCATAGATTAGAAAGTGTTTGATATCACTTCATGGTGTCTTCTTCCCATAGGTGAAAATTTTGTTTAGAGTGTCAGGGAAATACACTGATTATAGAATAGAGCAATGTTGTCACCTTGCCTTCCATGGCTACAGAGTACACTTTGATTTTTTCAGGCACTAATGCTTAAAGACTTTTTCAAAGAGGGAAGTAAATATCTTGATGCACAAAACACTAAAGTTTGGGGTGATTTTGAACCTTCAAAAATAGTTTTGGTTTACCAATTAGCTCTCGTCGAAAATGTGCTGTAATGTTCTCTCTTGTGTAATTAAAAATTTTGGGAAATGTGGAAAGTATATCTTGTTAATTTGGTTGCTTTCTGTTTTGGGTAGCCAAGAAATGTGCGTTAAGACCTAAAAATGTATGGCTTATTTATATTGAATATTGCCCATACATATGTTAATACTATTTCTTGGAGTTTACATTTTTTGGCCTCAATGATAAGTATTGTGCGGGAGCTTTCTTCTTGTTACCCTTCAAGTTTTCTGGATTCATTAACCTGCAGCTTTTTATGAAAGCGAGTCATTATTTGTGGCTCTGGTGGACTCTGTCTATTTGTTTTTCGTTTCTAACTATTGTCTTTTTCCATTCTAGATGAAATATGGCTAACAGTATCATTCAGGTTTTCCGTGTTTACAAGCTTGAACTCCTCACAAATGAAGTATAAGAAAAAAGTACACCTGGAAAATCGATAATGTGAGATCGGGTTACCAGATTGGTTGCTGTGCTTCCGTTGATTAGAAGTTTGCGCAAGTCACAGAAGGAGTTTTATAAATAAAGCATAGTTGGTTCATTAATTCATTTAGTTTTATTCTACCTGTAACCTTGTCCGCTTGCAAGCACCAATGGGAGGTACAATTTCTTTTCTTTCTCTCCGTTGTTTCTCACTGTCTCAGTGTCTGTCTGTCTGCCCAGCTTTTCCTCTGCACTTGATACTTAATGGCTTATTATTATTTCTCTTTGTGCTTCGTTTGACTCAAACAGCTTCCTCTCAGAACAACTTAGTTCTGTAGACTGACCAAGTGCTTCCTCTCAGAACAACTTAGTTCTGTAGACTGACCAAGTGCTTCCTCTCAGATGGCCTGTCCTGTGTAACTTACAACTTCCAACAAAAATACAAATTTACAACAGTACCTGGTACTGATGTTTTCAGGATGATGAGAAGGTTCCAGAATGTCAAAGGGTCTTTGGGGGTACTCGTACTTTAGCGGGATAGAGCGTATTTTCTTGTTGAAATTAGCTTTGTAATATCATATAGATATGCAGCTATTATTATATTATTATTATTATTATTATTATAATAATATTATATTAAAATATTATAAAACCTGAATGATATTATTAGCTGTATTTCATCTAGAATAGAAAAAGACAATAGTTAGATATGCAATCGGTAAATAAAATATTATTATTATTATTTTTATTATTATCATTGTTATTGTTGTTTATTTTTTAATCTTAAAAAGATAAATATTTTTGCAAATCCTATCGTAATTATTTAGAAAGTTTCAGCTATTTCTTGAGTGAGTTAGTTAAGCACTGCATCAGTTGAGTTTGGCTACTTAGCTCTCCTTTGTATGCCTGTAAACCTGTCATCTTTAGTCATGCATGCAGAAGCATCAACTCTGTATTTTAAGTGTTATTTTTTTTCCCCACCATGTTGAAGTTCTGGTTGGTGTGAAAACACTGCATGGTATGCCTGAGGAAAGCAACACCAGTCTGCCTGTTTTCTGTTTCACAAAAAGTGAAGCATCTGTTGATAAATAGCTGGAATAAGAAGAGAAAAACTCCATCATAAGATCACAAGCTTGCTCTTTTTGGGTGTTATTTTGTATGGACTTAACTCTTTTCCTACCAGGCCAAAATCCACCACTGGCCCAGGGCTTTTCCTTGACCTATTTTTACGTCCCTACCCCGCCAAAGGAAAATGTCAAAACATCCAACTAAACACACACAAACCATATCTTATGGCCCATCAAACTCAAACTGAAGGTTAAAAAATAATCTATTAGATGGCGATACAATATTGAAGATTTATTATTCCAATTATATTACTGTGGGGTTTCTAAAAGTGATTATGCAATATCGAAGGTGTCATATGAAATCAACAATTTTCCAGCTTTGATAGGTCATAACTAAAAAAGTACAACAACAGCATCATTCAAACTTCCCAGGTAGGTTGCCTCAAGTAATGCAAAGAAATGCTGAAAGTTATGTATGGGTGCGTAATGTAGAAGTGAAAGTATGAGACATATCCTGAAGTCAGGGGAGCGTTTTTTTCCCTCATATTTATGTTTCGAAGGGGACAAAAAAAGCGCTGGAATGACTAAAAATTGTCTGTCAGTGCAATATTTTCTTTCGTATCTGCTAACAGAAAGTCTGTTCTATAATTTTGAAAACGTGGATCGGCCGAGAATTGTATTCTTTTCATTACTGGATTTGAATAGATAGCGAGCCACTGGAGCCGTGTTTTGTGGCTCTCGGTCCAACGAGGCAAGGCCAGCGAGTCAAGGCCAGCGAGGCAAGGCCAGAGAGGCAAGGCCCGCGAGCCGCAAAATGCGGCTTGTGGTAGGGAAAGTGTTAATTTAATTATGATGAAAGTGAGGGGTCAGATGTGAGCATGACGAAATATTGGATAAAGGTTGATGTCTAAACATGATTCAGTAATTAATTTTTTTAACCGGCCTCGAGAAATAATGAAGGATCACCTTGAGAAATAATGTAGAATTACTTGAAAACTATGAAGAATCAGGAATCCCTTTTGAAAAAAAAAAAAGAAGAATCACCTGGAGAGATAATTCAAAAATCACATAATGTGGACATTTATTTTGTCATAACGGTCAGTATCTTTCTAATGTGCACCATTTTCGTCAGCGCTCTCCACTTTCACTTCTACCTTCACTCCCCATCGTATCTGTGTTGATGTAACTGAAAAACAAAGGCACAAAAAAAGGTAAATTTTCAGTTTCCAAGAACTCGCAATAATGGAGGTCAACGTTAGTCAACAAACTTTGGCAGCCATTTTCTTGCTAATTTTATCTCGGAAACCAGGCAACCCTCACCTCCTCCAATCTCGAATATCATTGAATATGCCAACTTCTATTCAAAAAGATAGAAAGACAGGTATATTTTTTCATTGAGAGCAAGACAAATGAATAGGCTTTAGGATGATACCAATAACTCCACATGCACAAAAACTGAGGAGCCCTTGATTCCACCAGGCTGTGATACATATTATGATCACTATTGTGAATATGAACTACAATGGCTAAGGCTAGTTTCAATAAAATGAGCCCAATCCTGAAAAATAGAAACATCTCAATGAACACCAAAATGAAAGTCCTGAAATGCTATGTTTGGTCAACCCTTCTATATGGCTGTGAATGCTGGACAATCACTAAAGACTGTGAAAATAAAATAAAAGCAACAGAAATGTGTTTTTTTAGGAGACTGCTAAGAGTATCGTGGAAGGAAAAGAAATCAAATGAGGTAGTGCCTGATGAAGCCCATGTGGTTTGCTCAATGTTAAAAACAATCAGGAAACGACAAATGCAGTTTTTGGGACACCTGAATAGACATAAGGGTCTTAAACATCTAGCTCTCACTGGCAAAATTGAGGGCAAGTGAGGCAGGGGTAGGCATAGAACAACATACTTAGGGAACCTAAACAAATGGGTAACTGGGAAAGATCAGGTTAAAGTGTAGCTTTTTTGAGAGCATCCGAGCAAAGGAATGAATGGAGAACCATGATCACCGATGTCTGTAGCAGATCTGGCACTGGATGATGATGATGATGATTGTGAATATTCTTATTTTTGTTTTTAAAAAATTAAAACAAACTGAAAGAAGTGAAAGATATATGAAGTTCTGTCTTTCTTGATGTGCTTTTGACCTTTAATATTCTTCTAGACACAGGTTCCGTGTGTGTTTGTTTGTGTGTGTATGTTTGTGCGCACATGTATGCGTGTGTGTGTGTGTGTGTGTGTGTGTGTGTGCGCGTGTATGCGTGTGTGTGTGTGTGTGTGTGTGTGTGTGTGTGTGTGTGTGTGTATGCATGTGTGTGTGTGTGTGAGACTTACAACAAGCTGTGGGTGATTTGCTGTGGTGTTATCTTCTATTTTCATTTATATTGGGGGGGTTACTTACCATGATAATCTGTTCCCTGGCTGGTGAAATAAGGGCAGCTACTGTGATGACTTGCTAACAACGCTGCTCAACCATAAAAGACTTGGAAAAGAATGTGCCTGTAATAATATAAAGTAATTTTGTGTTTTGCTATTTTGTTTCAGGAGCTAGAATCTATTGAGGAAAACTGGCAGTCAGAGGTGAAGAATTTGTTGACGGTTGTAAGCAAATTGCAAGAAGAAAACAAGCGCATGAGAGAAAATGCTCGCTCGGAAAAACATGCTGCTGTTGCTGAAATTACAGCAAAACGACATGGTAAGTCTGGTTTTTTTTCCACACGATGTTTAAAATGTATGTTTTCATCTGATTAAATACCTGTTGTTCCCGTGAGTTTGTGATTTGAGTAATAAACAATGGTTTATCTGTCAATGTCTAACGATGATCAATAAGTGGAAAGGAGAGTGTATCTTAAAGATAAATAGAAAAATAAGGGTCAAAATGACGATGACGTGTTGTTGCTTCTGCTATGATCAATAATACCAATTCTGGTAGAGAAGAGTTCGCCTCATTTTGAGCATTTAAAAGCTTCATTTCCACCAGTGTACGTGAGCAACTTACAGGCTTCTTTGTTGGCTTCAACATTTCTACTTCATGAGGCCTCACACGATTTGTAGTGCTCTGTAATTGCTTCTATCACGCATGTTCTCATTCTGACAGTATTTTTATCTTATAATTCTCAAAGTACTTTTTTCTTGTGTTTTTAAGCTTTTATTTCAAGTGGGTGATTAGAAGTGCTGTTGGTAGGTTCTACTTTAAAAAAAAACATTGTCTGTGTTGTTTCTTCCTGCCCATCGTGTTTTTTCCTACTCAAAATGTGGATGTGTTTGTCTTTTCTTTTCTCATCTTGGCTTTTTCTATGCTGTTTACTTTGCAGTTGGAGTATTTTGTTATAGTACAGATGTTTGTATACCCTCAACCCTCTTTTGTAACACTAAATGACCGTTATGCAGTCAAACCTGTGTAATTCACCCCCTGGGCGGTGCTACTAACTGACTGAAGTGTCTTTGAGCAATTCCCAAAGGGGGGACATTAACCATGTTCTTATGCACAGTAGAATTGTAATTGTAAATGGGCTGATTCATCAATGTCATGCTCATAACGGTACCTGAACTGCAACAGGGAACTGCTGCTTTTTCTTCCCTAATCTTTACTAGCGTCATTTTTTCCTCTACTTCTTTTGTATGTTTGTCACACTCTTGTGATGCGCTATTTCCGAGGTGCCTTGATATTCGAAGCTGACTTTGTGCTGTTGAAGCTAGAGAGGTGAGCAGAGTAAATCTGATTCCCTGTAAGGACTTCTCTGTTGACATCCACCCTTTGGCGCTCATATGACCTTATGCAGTTGCGAGTGCTGAAAAACCTCTCCTAAAACAAAACGAACCTGTGTAAAACGGTCACCCATTGTCATGGAGAAAAGTGGCCGCATAACAGAGGTGGCCGACGTCTTAGGCAGGACTGATCAAAATGAAGACAACAAATCATTCTCTTCTGAGGTCTAAACCGGGGCTAATCTCAGGATTAGGATTGCCTTAAGGTGAATTCAAAAGGGTTTTTGTTTTCTGTTCGAAAAGAGGGGGTGGGTGATGTAAGAAGGGATTTTTGTGTTGTTGTTTTGTTTTTTTTGGTCAGCTTTCTTTTTGTTGCTGATTTTGTGCAAGGATAAAATGAACTAAATATTATGTAAATAAGACGATGAAGGCCGAGTGCGATGGTAAAACAAACACATGGGTCGCCCCCACTCGGAGAACAAGCAACACGTCTATCACAAGTTCACGTCAACGTCCATTGTAACTTTGTTACAGATTAGGTAAACAAACAGTGACCAGTCACCTCACACACGATTTGTGCACGAGTTGTGGGCCAGGCTTATATGTTTCTGCAGATCACCTGCTTCTCTCACCAGTTGTTGAAAATTTACCCATTGGTCAACTTAGGTAAACATTCATTGGAGGGACTAACAATAATGACAGGTGAATGAATTATGATGGCCCGCCCGTCCATAGCGTGAGGGGCCGATTCAAAATTTATGACAAAGTATCGACAGTGAGTGACCACGCCTGGCTGCCCGAGGCAGGTAAATTTGACCATGGGTTGATAAAATAAGGTGGCTGCGGCCACATTGGACAGGTGACCGTTTTACACAATTAAATTGTATAGAAAAAATGCAAGGGGGAAATGGAAAGTGTCCGCTTGTACAGGTGGCCGTCTTATAGAGGTGGCCGTCAGGGCAGGTTCGACTGTAGTGCCAATTTGCTTTGCTTCTCTCAGACTAATTCTTATTCGTTTCAGGGGAAGTGGGAGCTTTGATGAACTGACTCGCATAAATGTCATGTCTTCTCTAAAATCATATTTTTTCTTAATACACTCTCTCAAGAGAACTTACAGCTTTTGTACAAACTTTCTTCATGGCTCTACTGTCCTGTTTTTGTCTATGATGTTCTCAGAAACGGAAGAGCAAGAGATCAAAGTCTTGACCAAACTGAAGGAGACAGTCGACAAACAGAGGGAGGAGTTACGACAGATGAAGCGAGATCTCGGACAAAAAGCTGTGGACTGTGATGCTGTGAGTAGCCTTTAATAGTGGCCTTTAATGTTAAAAGGTTTTAGTTTAAACGAGTTATTTAATTTTTTTAAATTAAAGAGATAATGTTGTAACTTGTAAGTATAAAGATTTTGGTAGTTTTTTGCCAAGGCTTCTCAAATAAACCCAAAGGGATGAATTAAATTACTGTTCTGAGCCAACAAGGTTTTCTGATAAATGGCTCTGAACTGACAAAAAAAGCAGATGTTAGACTCTTACTACATGGCATGGCAAACTTGATCACTTTTTTTTCCCACCTCTGCCTATTTTATTGCCCTCTTTGTTTAATCTGGCTATTGTCTTGATTTTCCTCAGTACTTAATGGTCATTATTGTGTCCATATGTGTTTTTCTGTTCTGTCACTCTACTGTAAAGTTCTCCTTTTCAGATTGGAAGGGCTGTTGCTTATAAATAGCCCAGATGCTTTGAAAAACCTCTTATTGCGGCCACTGCAGGTTTTTCTTGCTTCATTGCTTTTTGATGCTTCTGGCAATTACTGAAGGTCTTATAAAGGAGCTGAGTGGTTGTAGGGCACCCCTCTTCCCTCTTTGGTCCTGCTTCATTCACTCTTTAACTTGGAGGGGGGGGGGGGTGTTAAGGTGTTTGGGTTGGCTTTTTTTTCGGTCTGTCTTCCTTTTTCCCAACAATAAATGACTGTTTCTGTATATGTGTACTTCTTTTACATGTCCCATAGTGGGGTAATTTTTTTTCTTTTTTGTCATAATACTGTTTCCTTTTGGGGGTGGGATGGAAGGGGTGGAGGAGTATAGATTTTTTAACTGTACTTTTGCAGTAATCATTACCGTTTCCTTCAGCTTCAAGCACAGCTGGAGCGCATCGCCAAAGTCAACGCAGACTTGCGGCGGAAAAACACGACACACAAGAAGCAGGCGCGTACGCTGCTGGAGGAGAAGTCTGACCTGGAGACGCAGCTGCACGAGAAGGACCTGGAGGTGGACCACATCAAGAAGTTGATGAACGAGCAGGAGAAGTACGACGAGCAGAGGGCCGCCGTCAAGGCTGTCATCGATTCGGCCAACAGTGTAGAGGGCGAGGATGACACACAGGTGAGTTCCATGCTCCATTTCTTATTTAATTTTTTGGGATTTTTTTTTTGCGTGAACTGTTTGTTTGTAAAGTTTTCCCCGGTAAATAGAAACTGTTGCAAAGTGTGTTAGGATTTTTCACTTTTTTTTGCGTGAACTGTTTGTTTGTAAAGTTTTCCCCGGTAAATAGAAACTGTTGCAAAGTGTGTAAGGATTTTTCACTTTTTTTTGCGTGAATTGTTTGTTTGTAAAGTTTTCCCCTGTAGTATTTCCCACACTATTTGTTTAGCCATTACATGAGGGACTATTACCATTTACAGGATTTGAAAATATTAGATAGTCTGTAAAATATTGCCATTTGAAAAGGGTCAGCAACACGCACTAAAAAGTGGCTTAGATGGAAGACCAAGACTCGTTCTCATTTCCCACTTTGTTACCACGTGCTAAGTTATTGTAGGTCAAGAAAGCAATCTTTGCCCTTGTAATAGTCCTGTTTGTTATAACGAAATGGCCAGCTGTCACTTGTAAAGTATAGTCTGTTCTCATTGGATGTGTGTTTAAGTTATTAAGAAGTAGAAATTTCAATCCCGATACTGTTGGGTTCAGGGCCCAACGCAGAAGTGCATAACCCAACTATCTCGGGCTCAGGGCTGAAGTGACATCGGGGAGAAAGAAGAAGGTATAAACACTTTCCAGGCAGTCCTGTACCAGCACACAGTCAAATTATATGGACACTAAAGTGACAGATAAAGGCATAATTCTTTCCAGACAGACATATATCAGCACATAGTCAAATCTGTAGTGACGCTAGAGAGACAGAAGAAGGTATAACTCTTTCAAGACAGTCATGTACCAGCACACAGTCAAAGCTGTACTGACACTAGAGAGGCAGAAGAAGGTATACATTTTTTCCCCCCAAAAGTCATGTTATACCAGCACACAGTCAAAGCTGTACTGACACTAGAGAGACAGAGAAGGTACACATTTTTTTTCCCCAGCAGTCATGTTATACCAGCACATATCAAGCCTGTACCGACACCAGATATAAAAAACCCCATTCAAACAGTTATCAGAAAATAGATAAAGCTATATAAAAATACACCACACCAAAGTGTGAGTCAGTGTGTCAATCCTTCAACTGACATATTAAAAAATAAAGTTAGTTTTGAAGATTCCTCCTTTTAGATAACTAGTTGGTTTGGCAGGAACATCACACTTAGTCTTCTTTCTCTCTGTGCTTTGCTCCTTTGCACATTGGTGTGGTGTATTTTTATATAGCTTTATCTATTTTCTGATAACTGTTTCAATGGGGTTTTTTTATATCTGGTGTCGGTACAGGCTTAATATGTGCTGGTATAACATGACTGTTGGGGAGAAAAAATGTATACCTTCCTCTGTCTCTCTAGTGTCAGTACAGCTTTGACTGCGTGCTGGTATAACATGATTGTTGGGGAAAAAAAATGTATACCTTCCTCTGTCTCTCTAGTGTCAGTACAGCTTTGATTGTGTGCTGGTACATGACTGTCTTAAAAGAGTTATACTTTCTTCAGGGGGCTCTCGTGGCCTAGAGGTTAAGGTGTTGGCCTCTCATTCAAAGGTCCCGGGTTTGAATCCGGGTAGCGACCGAAAAATTTTCTTCTCTAAAATTATCTCCTTTCACCTCCTTTCTTGCTCTCTAGCAATGTTCTGTTGTCTACTTTCAATTCCACTTTCTGCCCCCACCCCCTCACCTCCTTTGCCCCCTCCTCTGGGCTCCTGACTTTTTCTGCAGCCTTTCTACTGCTACTCCTTGGCTACTCCTTGGCTCCTCCTTACTGCTGTCTTTCTGCCACACCCCTGATCTTCTGGTAGGAAAGATCTACACCTAGCCTTCTCGGACAAGGGCGAAAAATCTGGGAGGGCCTGTGTGCAAGTTGCGCACGTTAAAGATCCCTTGGTGGTCTAAAATCGATTAGAGTAGGCTTCGGCCGCCACCCGGGCAAAATTCAAAATTTCCTACCAACTGAAAATATTAGGTGTGTCCCGCGCGCTCATATGACCTTATGCAGTTGCGAGCGCCGTAAAACACTTTACAAAAACAAAAAAATACCTTCTTCTGTCTTTCTTGTGTCACTACAGATTTGACTATGTGCTGATATATGTCTGTCTGGAAAGAATTATGCCTTTATCTATCACTTTAGTGTCCATATAATTTGACTGTGTCCTGGTACAGGACTGCCTGGAAAGAGTTTATACCTTCTTCTTTCTCCCCAATGTCACTTCAGCTTTGCCTGTGTGTTAGTACATGACTGCGTGGAAAGGGTTCATAACTTTTTCTTTCTCTCCAGTGTCACTACAGCTTTGACTGCACTAGTACTTGCCTGTGTGGAAAGGGTTCATACCTTCTTCTTTCTCTCCGGTGTGAGTGTAGCTTTGACTGTGGTCTAGTACTTGACTGCGGTGAAAGGGTTCATACACCTTCTTTTTTCTCATAGGTATCAATACAGCATTGACTGTGTGCTAGTACATGACTGCGAGGGAAGGGTTCATACCTTTTTTTTTCTTTTTTTTTTTTTAAACCTTCTTCTTTCTCTTTGGTCTCACAGGAGCTTTGACTGTGTGCTAGTACATGATTGTGTGGAAAGTGTTCATATCTGCCCTTTGGTGTGGTTTGCTTCTTCTTTCCTATCAAACATCTATCGTCCTAATCTCCCCTTCTTCTTTTTTATGTTTGTTACTCTCTTGTAACACCTCTAATCTTCTGGCGCTCATATGACGTTGTGCAGTTGCGAGCGCTGTAAAACCTTTACTAAAACTAAATACTTTCTTCTTTCTCTCTCTCTCCGGTGTCAGGTGCCTGCAGAGGCTGATGGAGAGCCCATGAAGCAGCAGCTGGCCAAAGCGTCGGCGGTCAGCACAGGGACGGAGACGGAGCCCAGTGCGGACGAGTTGCCCCTCAGTCCGGGCAGTCCCAGCTCAGGCTTCGACTTGGAGGGCAAGGTGGTCATTGATCTCAAAGATCCAAACCGGCCGCGCTTTACACTGCAAGAACTGCGGCAGGTAAGAGGCTGAAGAAGTGGAAATGACTCTTTTGGGGGGGGGGGGGGGGGGGAGATTACATATTTGTGGGGCATGCTGAGCTAGGAAGGATGGCCCAGGACAGAGATAAATGGAAGCAGCTTGTATTTGGCCTATACCCTGCCAGGGGTGAAAGGCATTGATGATGATGATGATGCTGATCGCAATCTGCGAATGGGGATATTGGCCGAAAATGGACGAGAGGTCAAATTTGTAGATTTTCAGCTGATGCCATTTTCTTCGAGTTAAACATGTCTTATCACGTCCCTCACGGAAACGTCCATTTAACAGAGATGGTCGTCTTTGTGCTTGGAAGCTGTTTCCCTTTTTGTAGAGCATCAGCTTTTGCAGACAGGTTTAAGGTAGTTCACCTAAACGAAGGTAGTTCACCTAAACGAAGGTAGTTCACCTAAACGAAGGTAGTTCACCTAAACGACGGTAGTTCACCTAAACGAACACCTAAACGAAGGTAGTTCACCTAAACGAAGGTAGTTCACCTAAACGAAGGTAGTTCACCTAAACGACGGTAGTTCACCTAAACGAAGGTAGCTTACCTAAACGAAGGTAGTTCACCTAAACGATTTAATTAAAATTGGGTTGAGTTGTGTATAAAATGTTTACAATCAGCACTTGGGTGTTTTTGTTGAGGTGCTGCAATTTTGTGCTGACAAGTCGTAACCTCAAACTCATATGACCTTATGCAGTTGCGAGCACCGTAAAACCCCATACGTGGGTGGTTGGCGGGTGCTCTGGTGCCGTTTGCTTCTTCTTTCCTATCATACGTCTATCATTCTTATCTCCCCTTCTTCTTTTTTTTACGTTTGTTACTCTCTTGTAACACCTCTAATCTTTTGGCTCTCATATGACCTTATGCTGTTGCGAGCGGCGTAGAACCTCTACTAAAACTAAACTTAAAAACCCCATACTAAACTAAAAAATAAAACTCAAACTCTGCTTAGCTCTTGAAAAGAGAACATTTTTCGCATTTTTTCTTTAAACTTTTATCATAGGTGCTAATGGAGAGGAATGAGTTGAAGACAAAGCTCATTGAGGTGGAAGACGAGCTGGCACACTATCGTCCCAGGTAAGAGCAGTCTCTCCTTCTTAATGTGTTATAAGTTTCTACTATGTCTCATCGGAGTACTGAGAAGTCTGTCTCATTAAAGGAGACGTCGCACCTGTCAACAGATTCGGGGGGGGGGGGGGGGCTGCAAGTGTCGTAATTTGAAAACGGACTTGATTTTAATTTGTCTTTATCCTCCCAAAGATTCGGCAATAAAAATTGCTTTTCTTTTTTGAGAGAATCTCTGAAAGTCTAGGTCAAATACAAACAAAAAAGTATGGAAATGAAATGTAGATTGAAGAATCTAAAGACAAATTGTCTGTAAAAGAATGGCTCTTTTACGTTTTTTCAAAATACCTAAAACATTCACAGTCCATTATAATTTTCTCTTCTCATTATGTCACCTACGTGTAGCATAGGACCATGGTCTTTTTGACAACCATATCCGTGTAAAAGTGAAATTTGTCACTACAGAATGTCTTACATTATATAGATTGTGGGTTGAAATTCGAGAACATTAAATCAAGTTTGTTGTAAGGTGCGGCAGATCTCTCAATGTTTTCAAATACATTTGTTTTATTTGTCTGATCCCCAGCACTTGTATGGAGTTGGTTATGCAAAGAGTCCTTTGAATGTGAATGTTATATCTTCATTTGATTCAAACACTGTTTAACGGGACACGGTTTGGAAATTAATTAAATGGAGATGATCGGTTTATATACTTGACGGGGAGGGTTTGAAAATTATGGTTGCACTGTTCTTATTTATTTCATGTAAGCATTGGAGCACTGAGTACGAAGAGAGAAGAGAAAAACCCCATTGTTATATTATGTGTGATGACACATTTTGACTGGTCTGCTGCTGTAAATGAAATTGTATTCAACCTTTTAAGGCCCCATCAAATTTTCAAATAAGTTATGAGCTAGAAAAATGTTCGGTTACCATGTGCTTGACATGGGTAGTATTGTCAACACCAAGCCTGAAGAATGGGTGTAGTAGGATAGTGCAGAAAACAGTTGATAAAAGTATTGTTATATCTCGCTCTGCATCAAGAAAACGTACTCAAGGCCCTGACTTTTGATATGAAAGCAACTACTAATGCAATTCAGGCCGGAAGTGGTCATGGATGTTATATCTCTTTGTGTCTCAGTGCATCTTTTTCATGTGGTTTTCGGCAGATATTTGGTTGTTACTTTTTTGTGTCATGCAATTCTCTTTTCTTTGATTTGGTTCTCTGAGCTCTTTCTGTGAACCCTCGACTAACTGTTTATGATGACAGAATTAGAATAAATCCTTCATGTTATTAATCCTGTATCCTCTTTAGATTTAAAAATTTGCCCTCTAATTGAAACTGTCACATCCTGGTTTTGAAAGCTATACGAGAAAGCTAAAACAGCAACCCCAAAACATGTGGATTATGTGTTTTCGATAAAAAAAATGATACCTAACTAGTTGGAAAGAAGGAGGTGTAAATAGGTATTAATATATATAAAAAAATATTCCAATTTTGCTGGGAAATCTGAAGGGTGTTGCTGCATAATAAGAGGTGGTGCCAAAATTCAGGCAAAGTGGTAGGAAGGAGAAGTGGAAGTGAGACTGGCATGGAATTCCAGCTTAATTAAACGTTAAGGGAGAAAGGGTGAGGTAATGGTTGGAGAGATGAAAGGCGGTATTAATTCAAAGCGAGAAAATATATGAATAAGTGGTAGTTATTGACAAAAGAGCAAAGCGAGAAAATATATGAATAAGTGGTAGTTATTGACAAAAGAGCAAAGCGAGAAAATATATGAATAAGTGGTAGTTACTGACAAAAGAGCAAAGCGAGAAAATATGAATAAGTGGTAGTTACTGACAAGAGAGGGCAGTACCAATTTTTCAGTCATTGTAGCTTGAGTTTTGTTTATACAGTACCTTTTACTCTCCAACTTGAATTATTATCTTCGAAGTTTTGGATTTTTGTTTTCGTTGTTTTTTTTTAATATTATTTGATTAATTGTATGGTAACCTGCTTTTACTGATTCCCCCAATGTTTCTCACTTGTTTCTTGACACTCAGTTCATCAAGCTCTTGAGCAAGTTCAGTTCTCTGTGAAAGCTATTGGTTGTTCAGTCTGCTGCAGTCGTTTTTGTGAATGTTTACTCCGTTCTTATTTTTATTTTACACACTAACACATGCAGCACACACACACACACATACTCACAGGCTTACCAACACACACACTCACACACACAGGCTCACCAATACACACACACACTCACACTCACACACACTCACACACACAGGCTCACCAACACACACACACACATGCACACACACAGGCTCACCAACACACACACACACTCACACACAGGCTCACCAACACACACACACACTCACACACACACACACACACACACACACACACACACACACAGCCTCACCAACACACACACACACACACACACACACAGCCTCACCAACACACACACACACACACACACACACACACACACACACACATCTACGCACATGCGGACATGCGTGCACACACATATACATGCAGACTCACACTCAGACACATGCACACGGATATGTATATTTATACCCGTGTGTGTGTGTGTTTTTTAAATGTTTATTTCAGTGCTGCCTGCATGTTGTGCATTATTGAAGTATCGTGTTTGATTTTTTTCTGTATGCTCATAAATCCCATCATCACATTCCCTATTTCTTTAGAGAAGAGGGCTCCGCTGAAGCTAAAGATGGCGATGCTGAGTAAGTCTTTGCTTGTTTTTAGTTTAGAGAAGAATGTTTTCACTTAGTGTTACCACTCCTAGTTGAAATGGTCACAAAAAGGTTGTATTTTTATAAACCTCAACACAGCAAATTAAGTGGGAGATTTTATGTGAAGACATTTCTTTAACAAATAGATAGGCATGTGCGTACATACAAACACACATGCACACACGCATGCACACACACTGAGTTACTATCGTTACACCTGAAATTACAATTCTTAAGCTCACACAGGCTGGATCGATAACAACAAGCTCACACAGGCAACAAAAACACACTCATGAAAGAAAAATAATGACACAGATCTAACAACCTTTTTGTTTCTGATTTTGTTAAGTGATCGATCCTTTTGCAACTTCAGTATAGTATATAGTTTATGTGATGAAATGGGTTAAATTACTTTTGTGGCAGGCAGGGGAGACATAGGTTCCAGAAGATCACGAAAAAATAAATCAGTTAGATAAATGCCATCTGCTTTTGACCATGTTTAATTTCCCATCAGTGGGCTGCGGTCCTTTTTTTCCATTTATCATTTTAAGGGAAAAGTCTGGCTAGTGTTTAGTATAACCAGATAATACTCTATATATTCGTCATTCGTTAAGGACTTAAGGAGTACAACTCATTTTCAATGTCGATACAGTTTTTAAGGTTTGTGGGTTTCATCTCATATTCAGTTTCCTCCAATCCAATGTTTTGTGTTGCATTATTGTCCTCATATAATCTGCACTAGTTGTTTGTTTTTTTCTTTCTTAATTTTGGAAACTTAAGTTCTCACATCACCCTGCTAATGTGTCTGGTGCATTATTTCTTTCCTGACCTATAAGTTAGGTGGTCTTTTTGTTCGATATTCTTTGAAAAAAGTAATTGGGTTTCATATCATAAATGCATCAGGGGAAGGTATTTTTAGTATAATTTTCAGTACAGTTTTTGTTCACTTTGTGTGAGGCATCTGATTCACCACTAAGTTTCTTTACTTTCTGTGGCCAAGTGATGATAAACTATGGCCCAAAAAGATTAATACATCACTTAGAATGTGATACAAACCGAAAAGAAGCTATGGATACTGTCTTCTCATGTGCACTCAGAATGATTTATTTCAAAGAAAAGTTTCCTTAAGAAGCTTTTATTAGGTCATTTTCAGGGTAACTACCCCCGGTTTGATAAAGCAAAGCAGATTACTGTAACGACGCCATAACACTAGTGAATGCTTTGTTATGTGCTTCTGTTTCAGCACCCTGTGGTTTTGTCTATGTGGTCTTGTATCAGGCTTAAGCTGGCGCTGCATTGCATTATTTATGCTCTGGTAGATGATAGTCTCAGTTTGCCTCTTAAATTAATAATGATAATGATATGAATTTCACTTGTATAGCCAGCCTATTTTTTCTGAGAGAATAATAATAATAAATAGCATTTGTATAGCGCATATCCCCGCTCAACAGCAGGCTCTATGCATGCGCTTTACATTATATTATTACCCTAGCAGACCATAGAATACTCCGAAACATTCTCAGCTTCCCAGGAAGCATACAGTGCAAGCAGCTGATTAAGCGCTCAAACACTAACAAACTGACAAGATCTTTCGCTGTCTATAGCCGGGTACCCATTCCCACCTGGGTGAAGTGAGGAAATTTCGTCTAAAGTGCCTTTCTGAGCCTAACCACTAGGCCACCGACGCCACGGTGCTTTAATGCTTTATGGGCCTCACAATAAGACAAAGACCAAGGGCACCATACAGTTTCTATAGCTATCCTCTGTCTCTCTCTCTGTCTCTCTGTCTGTCTCTCTCTCTGTCTCTGTCTCTCTCTGTCTCTGTCTCTCTCTCTGTCTCTCTGTCTCTCTCTCTCTCTGTCTCTCTCTCTGTCTCTCTCTGTCTCTGTCTCTCTCTGTCTCTCTCTCTGTCTCTGTCTCTCTCTCTCTCTCTCTCTCTCTCGGTCTCTCTCTGTCTCTCTGTCTCTGTCTCTCTGTCTGTCTCTCTCTCTCTCTCTCTCTCTCTCTCTCTCTGTCTCTCTCTCTCTCTGTCTCTCTCTGTCTCTCTCTCTCTCTCTGTCTCTCTCTGTCTCTCTCTCTCTCTCTCTGTCTCTCTCTGTCTCTCTCTCTCTGTCTCTCTCTCTCTCTCTCTCTCTCTCTCTCTCTGTCTCTCTCTCTCTCTGTCTCTCTCTGTCTCTCTCTCTCTCTCTGTCTCTCTCTGTCTCTCTCTCTCTCTCTCTCTCTCTCTCTCTCTCTCTCTCTCTCTCTCTCTTCCTGGTAGGTTCACATCTTTACTCTCCCTCTGTCTTTTCTGTTCTTTAGTGTTGCTCTTTTTCAGCGCTGAATAGCCGTTATAGTTTCAATATGTACCGACTTACTCCTAGAAAATGTTGTTGAGCTTTCAGTGTAATTGTTTATAAGGTGGGAAAAGATTACAGCTTCTTCATTCTTTTGCAATATAAAGTGTTTTGGATTTTTTAAAACCCAAGTAGTAGTGCAAGTACACATGTTTAGTGTATTAAATACTATTCATAGTTGCAATATTTTCCATGTCATTTGCGTTAATGTAACGTCTGTATCTCTTTTAGTAGTCCGCGCTTTTTAAATCTCCAAACATATGTTTTAGTTTCTCTCTATACTTTCTCTCAATAATTTTTCTCCATGTTCCTATGTTACACTTTTAAGCTGAATTCTTTTTAAAAATTCTTCTTTGCAAATTTCATTGAAGGCTTTTATTACAGTTTTCTTAATTTGCCTGTTAGTTTTTTCCATTAAGTATTTTATGACGTGCAGCCTGTTTTGGGACTTTTTTTTAGCTAACAAATTAGATGTTTATTTGCTTCCTCATATGGGTGGGTTTCTTTTTTCTTTTTTAATATTCATGGTCTTTTAAGAATTTTGTAAAAGCATACTTGTGACTTGTGCATTCTCAGAAAATCGTCTTACACGGGTGAGGAAGTCTTGGTATATGGACCAATCAACAAGGAGCCGGAGGAGAAACTCACTGGCAAGAAGGAATCAGGGATCAGAAAATTGTAAGTATTTTTATGTTATCTGTTTGTTTCTTAGAATTGCTCGTATTATTTTATGGTTGAAATCTGAGGGTCATAGCTGCTTTATTTATGTTGTTGTCTGAAGTGGTTGACCAAAGGACACACATTCCAAAAGCTAAAAGTAAAACTGTTGAGACAGGAAATAAAGTCATGGATAGGACAAATGAGGTGAAATTTTTAACAGACTCAAGTTTTATCTAAAGGCCAAAAAAATAAAAGAGTGATATTCTCTAGTTTTAAGTTGACACTATATTAGTGGGGGTCGTGACTTTCCAGATCAAGTGGGAAATTTAGATTTCTGAAATTGTCAGCCTTAAAGCTGGATTTCTGAAATTGTCGACATTTTGCTGAATTTTATACAAGATGTCTCAAACAATCTGTACATTTTTGTGTCCCCCCGTACGCTCGTCTCCAGGGAGTCTGAATAATTCAGGATTGTTCTCCCCCCCATAGCCAATATACACCTCTGTGACATTGGAATGTCTTTGCTGTAGCCCTGTTGTAAAGGGTACTTGTGGTGCAAGTGATGAGCTGTGCTTTTTAGTGGATGGGAGAACGTGGCCCTAAAACCAGATAAGTTTGCAAAAAATGGGAAATGACCTTTAAGTGTTTTCTCAATCCCCTGGTTGAAATTGGGTTTTGTATAACAGAACTGTGTCATGTACTTTGACACAGTAGTGATCCTTATTTTCTCTGCTTGAAGTAAATAAAAGGTCTGGGCTCAAGTATCGAATAATGTACTGCGATTTTATTGTTTTACATTTGATTTCTGTGAAATTTGTGAGTGCCTTCTGCTCCACATATGTCATCAAAAGGCTGTGGCCTTGGTAGTAGGAGCATAAACAACAACAGTAGTAACTGGCCCCATGTTTTATGATCTGTGTAATTATTTTTACGATTATTCAGGATTGCTACGACATAGAGCCTTTGGTCAGCCACATTGTATTTCTGAGCAGTAGAGCGCGAGCGCGGAATCTTAAAATAAAAAAAAAAAGTATGATTTAAACTTTTATTGAGATCTAGTTTGATGTTGATCCGGTTTAAAGATTCAAGATTTTCCAATTTTTTAAATGTTCTTCTGAATTTTTACCAATTTTTGAATCTTAAAATTAAAAAAAAGTATGATTTAAACTTTTATGAAGATGTAGTTTGATGTTGATCCGGTTTAAAGATTCAAGATTTTCCAATTTTTGTATGTACTTCTGAATTTTTAACAATTTTGGAATGGGCTGGACTTTTTCTCCATGCTGTGTTTACTATTCTGGAGAGGGTTTTTTGTTATGAACGTTTACATTTCCTATTGCAGTGTTTTGTTGAATCAGTTATTTTGCTGAGCTGTTCTTTTATCTGAGTGGATCCAAATGGAATACCTTTGTCTGACCTTATGCAGTTGCGAGTGCCGTAAAACCCTGTACTGCTACTATACCTTTGTCTGAACCTCTTACCCTAACCAACCGCTGGAGTTTCCCAAAGAAAAATAACTTTTTTCTGGCACTCGTTGTTTGAACTTGTAATTTTATACAGAACATTTTTTGAATGTATATTTATATATATATATATTATATACAAATACATTTGTATATATATTTGTGTTTCTTTACTTTCCTGTTGCTTTAGTCTACCTTTGAATTACTCAAGATGTTGAATGTGAGAGATGGGAGGTTTATATGGGGAATGTTAAACAGCTTTTTCCCCTTGCTTTAGGATATATTGCGTGGGAGATAGGATAATGTCAACAGCCTTTCCCCTATGTTAAACAACTTTTTCCCCTTGCTTTAGGATATATTGCGTGGGAGATAGGATAATGCCAACAGCCTTTCCCCTATGTTAAACAACTTTTCCCCCTTGCTTTAGGATTTATTGCGTGGGAGATAGGATAATGTCAACAGCCTTTTCCCTTGCTTTAGGATATATTGCGTGGGAGATAGGATAATGTCAACAGCCTTTCCCCTTGCTTTAGGATATATTGCGTGGGAGATAGGATAATGTCAACAGCCTTTCCCCTATGTTAAACAGCTTTTTCCCCTTGCTTTAGGATATATTGCGTGGGAGATAGGATAATGTCAACAGCCTTTCCCCTAGCTTTTATGATCATGGCTTTACCCACATTGAACTTTTGTAGTGGGTGGAGTGTAAAAAAGTGTCATTACTTTGTCTATTAGGCATTTGACTAAGGTAGGCGGTGAAATGCTTGCATACCATTTAATCAGATTGTTGCTTTAGTGTTATAGGGATATGGTTGCTCTTTCAACTGTGTAACAATAAAAGCTGTTTGTTGTTTGCGTGAAATATTCAATTTTGGACAAACGATAATGTACAGCATTTGTATAGCGCAAATTCCCGCTCAAACATCAAGCTCTATACGCTTTTCAATCTTTATTATTACTCCAGCAGACTTGATAATATTCTGAAACATTCTCAACCTCATGGGAAGCATACAGTGCAAGCAGCCGATTTACAGGCGCTGAATAGGTCTTTGCAAGTGTGAATATCTGCTTGATATTTCTTGTGTAATAGTAAGCCAAAGGCTTTTGAAGGACAAATCTCTTTTATCTTAAGGTTTTATAGAGTGTCTTTTCTTTTAGAACTTACTAGTATTTGCCCCTTTTGAATGTTAAGGGGAGTTCCAGTTACCGGTAATCACTGAACCGTTTGTAAAGATCTAAAATAAATCCTATTCATTTAAGCTCAGGATCAAAGACCTGTGCATTGTGAAAGAGGTTGCCTGATTGTGAAGGAGAGTCATATAAAATACTTGTTATACTTAAAGAGTGGGTACCTAGGACAGTGTCACTATATATATAGATCATAGATCTCAATCATATTGATGCTTAAAGACTGAGTGATGGTGTTACTATATTTAGACCTCAATCGTATTGATGCTTAAAGACTGAGTGATGGTGTCACTGTATATATAGATCTCAATCGTATTGTTGCTTAAAGAATGAGTGATGGTGTCACTGTATATAGATCTCAATCGTATTGATGCTTAAAGACTGAGTGATGGTGTTACTGTATATATATAGATCTCAATCGTATTGTTGCTTAAAGAATGAGTGACGGTGTCACTGTATATAGATCTCAATCGTATTGATGCTTAAAGACTGAGTGACGGTGTCACTGTATATATAGATCTCAATCGTATTGTTGCTTAAAGAGTGAGTGATAGTGTCACTGTATATATAGATCACAATCGTATTGTTACTTAAAGAATAATAATATAGTGTAAAGCACATAGATGCGCTATTCAAATGCTATTTATTTATTATATTATTTATATTAAAGAATGAGTGACGGTGTCACTGTATATAGATCTCAGTCGTATTGATTTCCTAAAGAATGAGTACCTAGGATGGCATCACTGTAAAGATCTCAGTCGTATGGATGCTTAACCCCTTCAATGCCGCAGGTAAATAGGCCCCTGTGCCGGGGGAAATTCCAGGAACCAAGGCGGCTCAGGGGGTGACCCAATTCTACCTCCCATAACTTTTTTAGTTATGAATATATCCTCAGGAATTTCTGCATGTACATTCTACATTAAACCACGTTTCTATTGATATAAGTTTAGGGGGATTTCATTGAGAGATAGATGGAGAAAAGTTGGAATTAGTAACATGATGCCAAAAACAACAGGCTAAAACAGCACCTGGACATGGATGGCTGGTGCCTCTATAAATAAACCATTGATGGTCAAGGCCAAAAACAACACCACTGTAATGATAAACTGAGGCCAAAAAAGGGGAATACTTGTGTGAGTGTTTGCAGGTAAAGAAGTGGCAAGAGGATCTTCCTACCTTATACAACGCTAGTAAAATCCATATATATAGGCATATACATGTTAGCCTATCTGTGTTTACTGCCAACATATCATTTGTGTGCGGTAAATGTGTTAAATCTAGGCCTAGATATAATCTTCTCTGTGAACTAAAATCTGAATCTGACGCTTTCTAATGGGGGGGGGGGGGGGGGGGTGGCTAACATAAAGGGAAGGTACCTCAAAAATAATTACAATATTTTACCCAATTATCTAAACACTGTTATAGTCTTGTAAATACAACGGGCCATAGGCACTGCGCTACACGGTTCAGGCCCGTAAATTCCATAGGTGCAGCAGCGAAAAGAATAGATCTCGGTCGTATTGTTGCTTAAAGAATGAGTACCTAGGATGGCATTACTGTAAATAGATCTCGGTCGTATTGTTGCTTCCATTTCCATAAGAAAGGTGAGCAACTGTTCGACCCTGCTTTTATCGGGTGAATAGAATACACTGGAGGTACTCATTATCCCTTTGACAGCGAGGATATTGACTGCTTACGTTGAGAATCCGCCATGCACCATTTTGGAAAAATGAACGTTTGAGTTTTCACTGAACTGTCAATATGTATCCTGTGAATGGGGGTGGGGGAGGAGGAATGTCAAGGACAGAATTGTTGATTTGTTGGGTTGATGAACTCCTTTGTGAGAGTAGTGTGTAGTCTCTATTTGTGTTAACCAAAAGTAGTAGGTTCTGAAATTTGCTGTTTTGAGGTTGAGTCAGTGTAAATCTGTCCCCGCGGTTTTATGCAAAAAAATTCTGAAATTATGCAAACTGAGCCCAAATATGTGAAATTATGCGGTTCTGTTAATTTTAACAAAGAATGATAAAGGAAAATAATCAGAAATTATGCAAAAAATGATCAAATTTTGCCTAATTATGCGGGGTGCATAAAACCACGGGGACAGGTAAATGGAAGTTTCTTTCAAGTCCTCAGATGTAGCGGCTGATGTGCTCTTTTACTTTTTTTAAAATGTGGAAAGTCCGAACGTCTGCTAAAAAGTTTCTAAAGCAACAGGAAAAGTTGGGGGATGAGTGTAATGTTACTTTTCTTTCTCAGTCGGGTCCTACAATCTTTTGGTATAGTTGGGAAATAGTTGTAGACGATCTCTCTCCATCCGTCTGTCTGTCTGTCTGTCTGTCTGTCTGTCTGTCTGTTTCTCTCTCT